GCCATCCAAGTATGGCTCCTCAAAATAAGTGGAGAATGCCAGCTGTACGTTCCCAGCTTTTAAGATTCGGCTAGGACAAATTGCTGGAGCATTCCATGACAAAATCCTGTCCTGTCGTTTCCAGCTTCTCCATCCAAAAACGACACTGCCTGCCTGCACACTCAACTTGCACTTTAGTTCCTTCAAACGATTCTTTTCCTTTCTTTCCATTCATTATTTTCACAAAAATCAGAAAATGTAACAACAACACACTAGCAAACATCAACACAATAAAAACAATTAAAACTAACAAATTAATCTCACAAATCACCCTCTTAGTAACAAATTTAAGCTTAGAAATGACTAAGATAACTCTATTTTCATAGAGTTATCACTAGGCTAACTACGTGGGTGATGAAAGAAAACGGAAGAGTTAGGCTCAACGGGGCTAACTAGGAATAGAATATAACAAGGTTGGCTTGAAAGGCTCAATCGGTCCAAAGAAATGCCTAAATCATGTCCCTAACCTATGCCTAACCTGGGATTTTGCCTTGAGTAGCACTAAGGTGAGTTCTAGAACCGCTTTTGGTGTTGTGAAAGCCAATAGATCGCATAAATATTCTCTAAGTATGTGAAAGACTAGGTGACTGTGGTTTAGTGCTCAAATGTGGGGAAATCCTAAGCGAACACGAAATTCAGCACCCATAAGCTATAGTTCCTTTATTTCACAATCCCTTCTCAAAAACCAAATTCATCTGTGCAAAATCACTTACTGGACCAAGGTGAGTGAAAACAGAAGAGGAAAACCCAAAATCCTTGTCTTGAAGCTTCAATGGTGGTGGAGCCTGTTAGGCCTCCTGTTACGTTGGTCTATTCTCGGAGGAAGGGGCGTAGGGCAATTGTACAAGACAAGGGGGTAGGAATTGGAAATATGGGAAATGAGAGCTGATGTGGCAAGTTGGTTAGGAGTTTGTTAGCTGGGGAGCATATCTAGGGAAGTAGGGGGGACGAGAGAGGGTGTCTGTTGATTGGGAATTATGTTAGTAGACCTTGGGAGGAAGGAGAACCTCGAAGTCTGTGAAGAGGGGTTCCTAACAGAGCCGCACTTGTTGATGAGGAAGGAGATGGTGGCCAAATTTTTGGGTGTAAAGTTGGAAAAAGTGAAGAAATTGGGTGTGGGTGTGGAGATTTGGTGATGGAAGAGGAGTGTTAGATACAAAAATAACATAAAAACACATTAAAAACACAATAAAAGAGCCAAGAACTAACAAAATTAGCTAAGATTGGAAATGCAATTAATCGAGCTATTAGCTACTTTTATGTATCTTGCCTGCCAAAGCTAACTGAAGACGCAATGGTGGTGTCTTCTTCTTGCCATGAGAAAAGCTTTGTATTTAACATATACATAGTGGCATTCCTGAATAGCCTTATTTTGGTTTTCATTAAACTAAGGCGCTTTCTTAATTGAATAATGCTAAGGACACCAACTTAAAACCCAATTTTTGAGTTCCAACCTACATGACATGTGATGTGGTATTCCACCTCATATGCAACACATCACTTTTAATATAACTCTTATTTTGCAAATAAGTCCCTAAACCGAACATGACTTTTCAAATTCAAAACAAAATAATTTGGCATCCGTTTAAAAATTCATAGTTTGACCTAAATGATCAATATTCATCTCCATTTTAATCCTTTCCTTCCGTTTCTCAGCAACCAAACATGCAAAAGAAAAAAGATTATGCTTTTTTTTCGGAATATAATCATCACAGTGATGTGAATTACAAATCCCACGCCAATCTCAAAACTCTAAGGGCTTGTTCTTTTGCAAGTATTCTTGAGTTAAGTTTTTGAGTTGAGTTTGAGTTATAACTTGAGTTGAAGTTGTAATTTGAGTTTGCGTTTGATTGTGTATACTTAAGTTATGGTTTGAGATAAGAATCTTTTTGAGTTTATGTTTATTTGTAGTAAAACTTGAGTTGTGAAACTACATACATAATTTAAATTGAGAGCCATTTATAAAATTTTTCTGAAAAAACAACCTTCTAAACAACAATTAAACAAAACAAAACAAAAAAAAAAAAAAAACCGCTCCAACCCATTCTCCCCAGACGATATAAAAAAAAAAAAAAAAAAAAACCCCCCCCACCCCCTCCCCCCAAAAAAAAAAAAAAAAAAAAAAAAAAGCCTTCACTACATACATAATTCAAGTTGAGGGTCTTGAGAGCTTTGGGAAGGAAAAAATGGCTCGCCGGATTTTGGGGTCTTGGAACGGAGGGGGTTGCTGGCAAAGGCGTGGGATCGGAGGTTTATGGACACGGTGGTGGTGGTGGTGGGGATGTGAGAGAGAGCTTAGGAATGGAGGAGTTTAGAGAGAGAAAATGTTGATGATGATATTGATGGTGATGGAGAGAGCTTGGGAAGGAGAAAATGGGTCGCCAGATTTTGGGGTCTTGGAACGGAAGGGGTTGCCGGCGAAGGCGTGGGATCGGAGGTTTATGGACTTAGTGGTGGTGGGGATGTGAGAGAGAGCTCGGGAATGGAGGAGTTTAGAGAGAGAAAATGTTGATGATGATATTGATGGTGATGAGAGAGAGAGAGCTTGGGAAGGAGAAAATGGGTCGCCGGATTTTGGGGTCTTGGAACGGAGGGGGTTGCCGGCGAAGGCGTGGGATCGGAGGTTTATGGACTTGGTGGTGGTGGGGATGTGAGAGAGAGCTCGGGCATGGAGGAGTTTAGAGAAAGAAAATGTTGATGATGATAATGATGGTGATGAGAGAGAGAGGAGAGACAACTCGAGTTGATGGGAGGAGGTAAACTCGAGAATGAGTGGTTTACTCGAATAAATTTTCGAGTGTTGATTCAAGTGAGGTAAGAACGAACGCAAATTACACTCAAATTATTCACTCGAGTACAGATAACTTGAGTGAGTTAAAGCAACTGAACAGGCCCTAAATTTCCTAACATGAGAGTTAAAAGGAGAAGAAGAAGACGTCGAAGAGGCCCCCAATCTGCAGAATCAGAGTCTTCAACCCTCAACACATGCTTGCTATTCAACATTTCAAGTTCCCCTACATATTTCTCAATCACCTTCCTCACCACTCCTTTGGAGTTGCTATTGCTGCATACACTTTCTCAGAGTTGCCAATATTGTTCGTGGGAAAAAAAAAAAGAAAGAAAAGAAAATAAGAATACACATGACTTCCATAAATAGAATATAATTGAAAGGTCATGTTGGGAAGAGAAAGTAAATTAATTTGTTTTGAATTTGAAAAGTCATGTTTGGTTTAGGGACTTATTTAGCAAAGTAAGAACTAAATTAAAAGTGATGAGTTGGCATATGAGGTCGAATGGCACATCACATGTCATGTAGGTTGGTACGCAAAAATTGAGTTTTGAGTTGCCGTCTTTAGCATTATTCTTCTTAATTTGATCAATAAGCATTCTCAATCCATATTGTTGTCCTTAGTAAGGCTACCCAAGAGGGGGGTGAATTGAGTTTTAAATATTTTTTAAGAATTTATACAATTATTCAAAGATTAGAACAAATATAGATAATCAATTCAACACAGTACTTTTATTAAACATTTGGTGTGCAGAGAATTATGTAAGTTAATGCAATAACACAAACACTTAGTATGCACAAGATGAATCAATCTAATACCATATAACAAGTTTAATAAGCTTATCACCGAGAGTTAATTCAATCAATGTCAACTATCAAATTAAAGTGCAGAAATTAGAGAGATAGGGTTAAGAGAAATGGAAACGAGATTTAGAGTGGTTCGATAAATAAATTTGCCTACATCCATTGTCACTAAGATATTCTGCCTCTCGGCCTCTTCCAGACGATCAACTTTCCCGCACGATCACTCCTCTTACAAAGATGGCGAATCTTTATATCCGAGGCTTCGCCTAACGTCTTATACAATGTCGATTTTCTACGGAAATCGACCAACCAAGAAGCCCAATACCAAAGTAAGGATTGTTAATAGTGAAGCACATAGTTATATACTCATAACAATGGTTTTACACAATTAAAATGACTAGGAGATGATGAAATCACACTATCAAAAAAGAATTCAAGATAGGCTCAAGTATGTGTGAAAGAATGAAGTAAGGATTTAGAGAAATTGATAATTATGTTAACACTTTAGAGAAACCTTTTTGGATTTTAAGAGATTTGGAAGCTCTCAATAAATTCTCTAGTATGTTTGAACCTTAGAAGGTCTGAAAGAAAAAATCACAATGAGAGAAAATGATTTTTCTCAATTTAAGCTCACTGTCCAACAGTCTTATTTTTGCCTGTTGCCCAGAACCGGTCGACTGGAGCGGTTGACCGATTGAGACAAATTTTAAATTCTCATTGTTCAACGGTCTTATTAAATATCCGTTGAGCAGCACCGGTCGACCGGAGCTGTTGACCGGTTGAGGCACCACCGGTCGACCGGTGGATTTTGCCTTCTCTGTCACCGGACGATATAGGTCAACCGGGACACTGACTTTGCCGCAAACCTTCACAAAATTGCATTTTTAGGCCAAATGTTATTATGCACTTAGTTTACTCATTTTTAAAAGAATAATGTGAGTGTGTGCATGAGCCTAAACAAGAATTAATCATTGATAGTATGAAGTCAAAATCAAATGCAAGACTACGGAGATATAAAAACCTATTAGAACTTGTCTTGCTTGATTTTGTTTGTTTGCTGTTGATCTTTAGTATTTCAACACTTCAAGCCTTGAATTCCTAATTCAATTTAATTGCATTTCTTAAACTTGAATGTATTTGCATTGTATTCCACAATATGCTTCTTGAGTTGATTTATAATATCAATTATACTAAATACACAAATCAAAATAAAATAATTAGTAACATAATAAATTGTGTTTGTTATCATCAAAACATGAGAATATTCAACATTGGGCTAACACATATTATCCAACCCTTTAGAAACTGAGTTTACATTGCTTATCATTCATTCGTAGCCACACTCATTCATGTTTTACACATGACACAGGTAAAGAAAAGGGAGCATGGAAGTAAAGTTTGGAAGGATATGACAAAATAAATTTATCGACGACCCTGGGCAACCTATGTGACGGACACAGATTTGTAACAATACGCTTTAACATGATAAATTATAAGTTTTATTTGTTATTTAGAGCATCTATACACCATTATATTTTGATTCACTGATCTGTACGTCTTATATTGCTTTCTTACAAGATAAGATATGTTCTTGATAACTGATACTCTCTCTATACTTTCCAAAGAAGGAAAAAACAAAAAACAAAAGAAAAATAAAACACACAAAAGCCTGTGGTAGTGCCAGGTTTTGAGTAGTATATTCTTTATTTAATGCCCGTCATTGTAGATTTGTTTGCTAAGAAAGGTGATCGGAGTTGATTTTATTTTTATATTTTACAGAAGTGATCGGAGTTGTTCCACGTCAACTAGACCAGCACTATTCGATTTCTCATCATTATTCACTACATAGACAACGTGTAAAGGCCACCCCTAGCTAACAAAACACCACATGGAGAGCCTTCCACGTTTGGCTAAAATATGATGTCGCAGCGTCTTGACTGCGGTCCTAAAACCAACGGTCTTAAAACCAACCGTCTATGAACTGCACAAACTCAAATGGCGGTCCTAAAACCAACCGTCTATGAACCGCACAAACTCAAATGACACAAGGACGTACGAAATACAAAATCCAGCAAAGTTAGCCATAGAGATGGCCAAGTTTTAGGATGATTTAGCCGACATATCTATCTCCTCTTCTGATCACCTTTATGCCTCCTCGTGCTTGCAGGATCAGGTTCAGGCACCCGTGCTAGACTTGCAACTGCTCCCAAGTACATCACGTTATAAATTAAAGTCAGTCATCAAGTCATTAGATACAAGCAAACAAGAACATGTCATGTATGTGTGTGATTGTGTTTGTGTCTGTTGCGTATGCCTGATGAGATAGGCTGGTTCATGTTAGGTCTGCAATAGCACAGTACCTATGACTCCGCTGTAAGTACGACAATTCGCGCCTTACTTCCTCGAGCCCTTTCAAGATCTCCTGAACATTAAGATGAAAATAACCACCGGTTTAGAAATTAAACCACTGTCCGCACATATGGAAATACTATCTGCGTTAAAGAAGTATGCCCAATTATTTTTGGAATTTTGATAGGAATATTTCATTGTGCTTGGAAAGTGTACATTACCTCCATCCTGTAGTTGGAAACCATTTCGATCGTATGAATGGAACTCGTACAAAAAAGATAAGTATAATTATCAGATCATTCACTCATAACAAAAAAGCTAAGTATAATTATCAGATCAAGTGCTCTAATTAACCAAAATTACAATGATAATTAATAAGAGATAACATGCAGCTGATTATTAATATAGGCTTATAGGACAAAGAAAGTGAGAGTACTTAACCGATCGAGTATGATGTCAATTTCTTGGCCAACATATAGCTCGGCAAGTTTCTTCCTCACGCTCTGTAAATTGTAAATACATGTAAAACAACATGCAGAAGTACCTTACCTTAGGGGACAACATTGAAATTGTTTCTTACGCACATATTAAAGCGAGAAGCAAAGCACTATTCATATTTACAGATAATTAATTATCACCTCTAGCATATCAAGATCATCCTCACTGTCGCTGCAATGTTTTCAAGGCAAAAAAAATTAAATGGCTAAACTAAAGATTATACATATTAGTGGCTGAAATATTATTGCATATTTGAAGGGGATTATAATTAACCTGCTGGAGTCGGAATCAGAGTTGTTGATAGTACTGGTGACACCAGGATTTCCAAATCAAAAGTTAATTAACAAGTAATTAAACAGGAATAAACATAATTTAACGAATGCGACGGAAAACGACAAAATTGGTTTGGACCAATTGATCACCTGATGTTTTGATCACCCGTAGAAAGGCTGCTAGTGGAGGGCAATATTTGGGACAAATTAGTGGTATTTTTGAGGTTAACACTGAGATTACTGAGAGGTTGATGATCATCCTCAGCAGCTAATTCCACAGCCGCTTTTCCTCTTCTCTCTTTTTGGCTACTGTTGTTGCTGTTAGTCGTAGCCATATTGAACTTAAAATATAGAGAAGAAGATGTTCAAGGGAGAGAAGAGAAGATCAAGGCAATGCCACAATGGTTATGAGGATGGTAATAAGGGGAAGAATTTATAGGACACAATTGTTCTGTGAATAGGCCATTGCAAATAGTTAATTGTTCAATTCTAGCTGGCCTTTTTTTTTTTTTTTTGCAGGAATTAAAGGGTAATTAAACAGATAAAATGTGAACTTGCCCCAGTTTAAGTCTAATTATATAGCGTAACCTGTTTCTTTATAGTAGAAGGATACTTAGGGAATAAGACAAATAGGTTAATTTCAAATTTGACCCCAAAAAATAGAAGTTCTCTCAATTTTTGCCCAACAAACTGATTTATGTTGGCAGCCCACATGGCACATTAACCAATCACCATGAGTTAAAGGTTGCGTTTGTGATGAGAGTTCTAGAACTGAAACTATGATTCTGGTTCAAATCTTTGTTTGTTTACAAAAAGTAAAAAATGGTCTTTGAAAACCAATGTTTAGTTTGGATAATTATGTTTCAATATTTGAATCTTGATGTGATGTTTTGAACCAGAATCACCTCAAAAAATAAAACCATCTTTCCCCTTGATTTTGGATGGTTCAAACTTCTGGTTATGATTCCAATTCTAGAACTATGGTTTGGACCCCAAATTTAAATCATAAATCATAGCTCTAGTTCCAAAATTAAAACCATCTTGATTTGAACTCTCGTATCAAACACAATCCGAAGTGTTGAACAAATAGTCTTCTAATTTAGTAGCAGTGTATCATGTTGCCATGTTATAGGTTTTTTATTTTTTATTTTTTTTTATTTATTTTTAAAACTGCTATGCTGTAGCAATATTTATTATATTAATGAAGTTGATAGCTGTATAAATCAAGTACTTAACTTTGAATTTTTCCGGTTGTTTAGTTGTCATAATTACCCGACTAGGAAATCACCAAATTGGTCATAACAAATACAAGAAGTCCACAAAAAAAAAAAAAAAAAAAAAAAAAAAAAAGGTCTACTGATGAAAGTAACGGAAAGTCTGAAACGACAACCTCGCAGATCAGAAAAATAAAGAAAAAGGAAAATAGAAAACCATGCTGAAACTGAAGTAGTGAAACAAATCCCAAAGGCAAACCGTTACTAAATAGATTATTTGGCTACTGCCTAACAAACCTGGCCACGTTTTATGCATTTCTGAGGATATTGGTCATGCATGGAAAACGAGTCAGGGTCACCCAAATTAAAACTGCATTTTATTGGTAGATTAAAGTACACACACATATATATTGGTTCCCGGCTATATCATCGTGCGTTAAATACACTTTTACAGTTGAGTTGCCTCTATAACTCTATTAGTATACAAGTTCATGAGTAATTGTAAACCCAATGTCGCTCTCTAAAACCAACCTTGGTTTTTCTGGCATGTCGATACCAAGTTTCTAGTAGGCCAGCTGGGGAAGTTTTGCTCCTTTTAAATCATCAAGGAAGAAGAAGAAGGGCCTTTTTTTATTAGAAGAGTTCTGCAGATTGTGATGTAACAAAATAAACAAAAGAGTTTAATTCATGCATAGAGTCTATTTGGTATTGTTTTTAGAGGAAAAAAAAAACTACAACAGGACAGGGTGTTTAATAAATTGTGTTTTTGTCTAGCAGCTTCTAAAAGCTGCTGTCGAATGACATAATTTGAGAAGCAAGTTATTAGTTGCTAATTTGCATAGCTACTTTTGCTATTATTGTCCAAATTTACTAAAATAACTTTAATAATAAAACTTAATTCTCTATCTATCTATTTTATTTTTCAAAATAAATTAAAAAAATATAAATTCTTAAATATTTATTTAAAAATTAAAATATTCAATAAATATTCTATGTTAAATTTAACTCAAACATTTTATATACTTGTCAAAATGTTTAAAATAACAACATTAATTAATTAATTTTACAATTTATAATTTAGAAATTGTTTTAAATAACAAATTAAGATCATATATACTTTTTAGATTTTGGTGTACAAATATTATGAATATTGATCTTAATAGAAATGAAACTAGCTATAAACATATGTGCTAAAGTATGTCTATCTTAGTTATTATACATCTTCACAATAATTTTATACATAAGTTACCAAACACTAAAATTTCTACTTATGGTATTCACAATAGCTTTGAAAAAAAAAAAAAAAATTATCAAACACTTATATGCTTCTTTTCACAGTAACTTCTCACTAACAATAAAACAATAGCAAAAAAATTTTAACAGCACACCAATGCTAAACTAGCCAATAATGTAGAATTCAGAAATTGAGAATACAGTAAAACCTCTAAAAAATAATATTGTTGGGACTAAGAAAATATATTATTTTAATGAGATTATTAATTTATCAATAAATAAATAATTTATCAATTTATCAGTAAATGAATATTTATTTATTTAAGAAGAGTTTTATATTTTAATAATATGTGCCACTTTGGTACATGCATTGTTCTTTTAACTAACATTCATGTATAAGTTATAAATAAATTAAAAAAATGGATATAGTCAAAATTAATATGTTTATATATAGAATTTCAAAGGTTATAATGTATATAATAAATCTTATATCCAAATAGATAGAAGCCAAAAATTAATGTAAGTACATTTTACATAAAATGGTAATAAAATTAATGTACATATTTTTCAAATTTAATACCTAGAAGGAAAATAGTCCTTAACATGATGAATTCTATATGTTATTTTTTATTATTTTTTGTATTTGATTAATTATTAATTTATATTTTCATTGGCCCTTAAGGGAATTTGAGAAAAATTATTATCTTATGCTTTTAGCAAGATTATTAATTTAGTATATTAGTCCAAATTGAGACTAGAAGATTTTATTATTTAATCAAAATTATTAATTTATCAAACATTCATTTATCGAAATTTTATTGTAGAGTGCGCATAAATATTGAGTTTACGATCATCAACAGTTCAACATTTAACGTACTTATTATAGAAAACATCAATAGAATAATAGCAAGCCAAAACACTGAAGCACAACTAAAAAAATACCGAAAATACGAATTTTTTAAAAGAAGAAAATTTTGGACAGAAAATAGAAAACAAAAACTATTTGACTAAATAAGAGCAAATATAACCGGGATAAGAATCCAAAATGGCTAATAATGAAAAAAAATACTGAAAGTACAAGATTTTGAAAAAGCAAATTTTGAATAGAAAGTAGAAACAAAAAACTATTTTATTAAAGGAACAAGGAACCACAAATCGA